TATTTCTATATTTATATTTGTTATCAACTTTTGATAGAAGGAAATGCATTAAAATTAAATAAATAAGATGCCCATATTAAGAAGTGGACGTAACACGTGTCCGTGATAATCAATTCATAGTGGTAATTTAGATCAGTCTGTTTTTTATTTTTTAATTATAATATTATATCCAATATAAGTCGAAACAATCGAAAACGTTGTGGACTAATGGCAGAGATGTGCAAAATGGTTTTTTAAAAGTATTTAAATCCAAATAATGTTTTGATTTGTTATTTTAAGTGTGCAATACAAAACAGATTTTAAATGCTGAATGCAAAATACATATTTTCAAAATATTTTTTTCAGTTAAACACTTTTTTGTAGTACCTTATTTAATTTTCTACATTTACTTAACTATAAAATATTTTTTTAAGAAAACGTTGAAGGCATTTTCTCAGTTTTTAAATATTGGAGTTCTTCTAGACTAATAGTGGTGTTTGCATTTTATCACCAGCTGCAAAGATTGAGTATCTATGATTCATATTTTTCTGTTGGAAGTGATTGAGATATAGTTTATCTATCTTTAGCTGGCATATATCTATTCGATATTGTTTTGCGGGCTGTTTTGTCGTAATTCATAAAATTTCGTAGTTCTTTACCTAAGGTACGATAAGTGGTGATTTGGCAGGTGCTGATATCAATTTGGAACTTCAAAATTCCATGGACTATGACAGAGAACCTGGAAAACGATATAGATCCAATATTTTATATTATTCATTTCCAAGGAGTCTAGAATTTATCAGGCTCTTTTCAGTTAAAGAATTAGGAGGCATTTATGGAAAGCCTCTTTGTCCCCTTTTTAAGCTTCTAAGGTTTTCAATACTCGGTGTAAGCAGCTTACATTCATCATTTTATATAATGTTTGATCGGTGATACCAGCAAAACTTTTAAGGGCAAAAATGTATTTTGCATTTTACAAATAGAAAATACTTTTGGAATAGTATTTCAAATAAAATACAAAATGCTTTTCTCTAAAATGTGTTTAAATGCAAAATAAAAATAGGTATTTTTTATTTTGTATTTGCATTTTAATTGCAAGTATTTCAAATAAATCACATCTCTGGTATTTTATAGACGGCCCCTATCAAGTAACCATGCTGCACCTAGACATTCAGATTTAATATTAAAATTATCGGTAGCGGCTTTAGGTAAAGCGAAGCCCATATCTAAAATTTGAAGAAAGGGCCTCATTCAGCTATTGCTTATCAAAACATACAATTACAATTATACTATTATAGATCCAATGATACAGCGTTTAGGAGCCAATACT